GAGATTTTAACAGTGCGTTTTCTCGTTCAAGTAAAGAGTTTCTTTCAACTAATTCTTTTATTTGTTCCTTCAGGACTTCCACTTCTTCTCTTACTGCATACATCAAATGGCTTTTCACTAGATCCTGTGGAGAACAAGTTAACAGTTAACACCAACTGAAAGAACAGTTTCATTCCACTCCAACCCCAGGATTTACTATTTTACTGCTTTCAGTTAAGTAAGTGGCAAGCCTGGAAAACTAAAGCACTCATCACTAAAAATATATGAATACATCAGCCTTTGAGAGCAAATAACCTAGCTCCTTAATTCACCGCAGAGTGGCCCTTACATCAGAAGCTTTGTTTCCAGCATTCAGCATTAAGATCTAGTCACCTCGGTTACGCTGAAGACCAGGAGTAGAATTACGTCCCAGCTACCTGGAGTGAAAGCATTAGCTCTGAGGCTTTGACCTGGAGGTAGGAGTCTGCGCTACACGATCCCAAGCGCTGAGGTGTATGAAAACCAAGAAATAAACAGGCCTCTAAAGCAGCAGAGGCAAAAAATCAAACAGATGTAACTGAAGCTGAACAAAACGTCAGGGATGGCACAGCATAAATGCCATTTAAAAACTAGTAATGAACTTCGCTAAAGAGACTTAAATGTGCTAATTATTTTCAGCACCCCTTTAAGTTCAATCAGCTCATTCACAGAAATTTGTAGGAAAATTAATTTAAGAACACCTCTGGGCCTACAGTAAAGGCAATCCTGGTTTGTAGTCATCCCATAGTTGATACACAAAATCCTTTTTTTTCAAATGATGGTCTCAGTCTGTCCCAACCAAAGGGATGTTACAGACTCACAGAAACACAATACAGCTGGAAACTTATGCTCAATGACAAACCACTAATCCTCACAGAAATATCAACTTATTTTTTACTTACCATCGCCTGCTCTATTTTGTTGTCAATGGCAACAACGCTTGCACCAGAAGAACTGCAAATATAAGGAGAAAATTTTGTGAGCATTACTGTGTCATTTGATTAAAACTATGCACGAATCAGCACCCACAGGACTCCTAGAGCATGCTTCCACTGAGAGGCTAGAGCTTCAGATTCAAGAATTCAGCACACAATCTTGGGGGTTTTGTTCCCCCCACTGTATTGTCCAGTAGTCAGAGCTCTTAAAAGACACTGCTCCTTCATTTTATAATTCCTCAGACTACGCTTACAACACCCTTAACCAGAAAAATGCATTAAAATAAACAGTGAATTAAGTGCTTTCATTCCTTGACTCCTTTTTTCAGCTTTTTTCACGGTGGAAAACAGGAATTCATGTGATATTCATAAGGTCCTTACCCCTAGTTTTATTTCCGGTAAATTGCTTTTATAACACCTTGAAGGAAAAAAAAAGCAGTTATTCGTTCTCTGGCTTTATTTGAAGACTGCCTTCAAGGTAAAGGAGTTCCTGGATCAGCACCATTTACAACTGAGTGGCAGCAGTCAACAGACGAGCAGGACACAACCAAAGCCCTGCACTTCACGACTGCACTTAGTTGGTTTCAATGAATTCTCTCGGGGTCACATTTAACATCTAAGAAACACACCACAGCTGGCTGGTTACAGTTAGGGTCAGTCTTGTTCCAAAGAGGACAGCCCAACAAAACGAATCACTGCCACTATAAAAAAAACGTGTGTTTACTGTGCGAAGCAAGACGTTGAACTACGTCTTTAAGCCTCGGGTGACGGCAATCCAGGCCTTAATATCTGTGCTGTGTCTTCCCGTCACAATACAGGAACGCGAGCCAGCGGCTCGCTCGGAGCCCCCCGCGCCGGGGTTCGGGGGGCTGGGGGTGCCCCTGCTCTCCCGCAGACTCGGATCGCCCCGCTCGGAGCGCAGCTGTGGCGCCGGGGCAGGGCAGCCCGCACTGCCGGGACTCCGGCGGAGGATCCGCTGCCCCAGCTGCACCCACACACACGCTCTGCCCGTGCCAGCCCTCCCACCCTACGGCGCAGTGCTCCCATTTCACCCCACAGCTCCGTGTCTGACAGCAGACAGCCCTTCCCGGACTAATTACCGGGCCCGCCAGTGATAACGACTGATAATGCTCCCCCGGAGATGGAAGTTGCTATCAGCACTGCGCAGCTACGTTTGAAAAAAAGTTAACGTAGGGGAAAAATGCAAGGTTTGCAGTCATGCTTGGAAACTCGCCTCTGAAAATATGAAACACTCACTGAAACCAAGTGTTAAGGAAAAATTACTGAAGGTTTTTTAAAATGAGTACTGGCAACATGCTCAGCAGTATTAGTTACATACGGGAAACAAAGCTCAACTACTGAAAGAGTGTGACGCTATTTAGAGAAATCCATTTCAGCAAGTCTCACAAGAATTGTCAGTACCTAGCACCCAACATTTACAAGCAGAGGGAATCGGCTTTTCAGCTTGAGGTAATAACAGCCTCTATTTCCAAATGAAACCAAGCTTGTCATCTAAAACAAGTGATGAACACTCATTTCAAAAGAAA